CCACCACCCCGGGGGGAGGGGGCTGCCCACTGGCAGATGCAGCCTATGGTCCTGCTCCAGGAGTGTCCCTTCTGTGCAGTGAGGTGGGTCACACAGGGTCCTCCTCAACCTGAGGGTGCCAGTAGCGGGGCAGTTCACAGTCAGACCCAGAGCCGAGCCAAGGGTCAGAGCCCATATCAGAAGTCAAAGTTCAAATCAAGTTAGGACATAGGTGCAGAATTCCAGATTTCCCCCACCTCATTCTGTCTCCGGCTCTGCCCCCACTCTATCCCTCCCCCCATGTCCCACCCCACCTCTTCCCACCATTGCTCTATAGGTGCTGTATATTCAACTGCTGCCTTTCTACTGTGTGTGTGTGGAGTATGTCACAAACTAAATTGCAGAGCATGTGCTCCCCCCTTGCACCAAGCCCCAGGGCCATTGTGCCCTCCCCACCCCAGACTGCCTCATCTCAAAAAAGATATCATGACTTTGGAAAAGGTTTAGAAACCGGCACCAAAAAATTGTGAGAGACATGGAACCGCTGCTATATGAGGAGAGAGTAATAAAACTGGGGCTTTTCAGCTTGGAAAAAAGAGAATTAAGGGAGGATATGATGGAGTCCTATAAAATCATGATTGGTGTGGAAAAAAGTGAATAAAGAGTTATTTACTCCTTCCCATAATGAGATCACCACATAGAATTAATAGACAGCAAGTTTAAAACAAATGAAAAGCAGCATTTGTTCACACAATGCACAGTCAACCTGTGGAACTCCTTGCCAGAAGATGTTGTGAAGGGCTAAATTCATTCATGGAGAATAGGTCCATCGATAGCCATTAGTCAGGATGGACAGGAACCGTGACCCTTGCCTTTGTTTGTCAGAAGTTGGAAATGGGAGACAGGGGAGGGATCACTTGTTCTGTTCATTCCCTCTGGAGCACCTGGCATTAGCCACTATCTGAAGCAGAATACTGGGCTAGATGTGTTGGCACTGAAAGTTTTATTCTTTTTATATTTGTATTTTAAGATTAATAATGTAACAATGTAAGGTAACATAGTAACACTTAATATTTTATGAAATTAAGCCCTTTAGTAAAATACATATTTCTTTGTGTTAAAGTTTAGTAAGCTTAGCAAGTAAAGAGACAGAGTTTTGGCATTGTGTCTATATTAATGAGATTAGCAATACTGAAGGCGCGGACCTTAGATGTGAATTGTTTTGATTTTGATTTTGCTTAAAATAAAACACTGCTGTTTACTTTTGAAGGATTCTGTTAGAAAGACTGTGTGTATGAATGAGATACGGTGTGAAGGTCATTGAAGACAAACGTAAAAGACAGACTGCAAAGAGACATATCAGCGTCAGAGAAACCATCAGTGTGTATCCATGGTCAAGAATTGATCAGATTGGCAAATTGATGGCTCTAAAGGTGAAGGCATGCCTAAAAACAACTGATTAATAACCAAGGAGAGGATGAGCCTTTCGAGATGTTTTGGGAATGAGTAACATCAACAAGATAACATGCCGGTCACAGACTGACACAGCAGAATCTATAGACTTCAACAGAGAAAAGGATTATAAAAGCAGGGTGCTTTGCTATGGAACTTTGGGTTCATCTTGCCACTAACTCCAAGAGCATCAGATCGATTGACAGACACAGCCCGGCTTCCCCTCTGTGATCAATTTGGCTGACCACTAGATTGATCCAGATTCTGGACCTGGTAACTATAACATTGTCTGGCAGGACTGTGTGTGTGTTTGCGTGTTAATGATTGAAAAGCATATGCATCTGTTGTATTCTCAATAAATGCGGCGTACTGCCTTTTCCCCTATAAAAGATCTTATGTGCTTCATTTAAGCATAACAGATAGGCCTTTGGTCTGATTCACTGTGGCTACCCAGAACTCTTTTTGAAGGCCACTGTCTCTTTCAGAAACAGATGTTGGTCCTGGAAAAGAGATTTTCACTTTTCTATGTAGGACATCCCTGTCTGATGGCAAACATAGCATCTTCCTATGGAGGCTGCAGGTCACCTCCTCCATCTGAGCAAGTGCACCAGGGTAATAGGCCAAGGGAGGACTGATTCTCTTCAGGAAAAGGAAACACAAGACACTACAAAAAATAAACTGAACTCAGACCGTTACAGAGAACCATTAACACAAGCAGGAAAGAAATACCAATTCATACATCTTTGGCCTGGGCTTTATTTTCAATGAGCTAGCTCAATTAATATCATTGTGGAGCTGTGACCATCTCTCCCCGCCCCGTGGCGGATATTATTTTTTAGCACTGGAGCAGGCAGACATTTGATAGAGAAAAGAAAGCGGTTACATCATGTGTGGAAACTGGATTATCTAATCTAGCAGGGGATTGGGATGGCAATAATCTTCCATCCTCTGACGCGATTTACTTTGACAAAAGTTCAACACTGAGGCAAGAAACTGAGTGCACCGTTTGTGGACGGCATCTGTGGCTTGGAAAGGGACCAGACAGTTCAAAACAATGTTTCTTTACAACACAGGGAAAAGGTGTAAGACAAGCCACCTTACAGGGGGTAATTTCTGGGGCACCCCACTGGAGACAGATGAATGGAAAAGCTCCTTGGGGCCAAGCCAAATTTTTTTACACAATATAGGCTGAGCTGTAAAATAGGCAGCTGTCTGTCATTCAGGGCGCTGCACTTGTGAGTCATGCTATTGCTACTAATAAATATTAAAACCCATTTATAGACGCACACAGATTTTAAATTTCAGAGACCACACACAGCATATTACATTTGTCAGAGGGAACAGCACATCTTGAAACAAGAATGAACGCTAGAAATGAAACCGAGCTGTGTTAGAGGCTAGAAAACAAATGCCTCTGTTTAACCACATTGACTTTTTAACTTTAAAGCACTGGAAAATTAGCACATGGAGCTGCTCTCTGTGTAAGGTGTAACTCGGCTTGAGAAATGGTGACTACAGGCTCAGGCTGACTTGGTGCATGCCCCTTAAATGGATGGCTATCAAATAGTCTCGCCTGGTACTTGTCAACAGCAAAACACCCAGTTGTATCATAAGCCCAGGGTAGATGAGTAATTGAGATGTAATAGACTAAATTAAGCTAAATTCATAGTCCCCGCCCAGGATGTCAAACTGGTTTGGATAAGGGGTGCGGTGCTTCTCCAGAATACAGGGGGACACACAAGCAACTAGTGTCACCCTAAAAGAGCTGCACTGAGTCCACACATCCAAGCTGCAGCTTCTAAGGTGAACTTCTTTGGAGCCCCCACCCAAAGCCAGTGCGGATTTCACTGGTTTCTGTCCACAAGAGAAAGGAAGGGGGTGCACCAGGGCGCACTGCTCTTGCAATAGCTGGCTGAGCTGTGGCACAAGTCAGCAGGGAGCTATTTAAAGATCTGGTAGAGACCCAGGTTGCAAGAGGACAGGACCGGTAAGAAATGCTGTTACTTTCACCGCTGTTTCTGTCCCTGCCTTACCCTTCCTGGAAATACAATTTGCTCCACCCTGAGAGTATCATGTCTGCTTGGAGTTGAGTAGCCCTCAGTGGCCCAGAGAGCAGACATTTGGAGGTGGAGGGAAGATGTTACTTCTCAGCTCTGCTTTTTTTCCTCCCTCAGCTTCTCCTGGTTTTATACAGCTAAGGATTCGCAGTGGCAAGGCAGGTAGGACTTGTTTTTCTGGTGTGGCCAATCACAAGATTTTTCTCCTAGGGAAATGTTAGCCAAAGGATCCTTACTTATCCTCTGGTCATCTCTGTTTGTTTGGGGGATCTGACCCAATCTCTCCTGCTCTATAAACATGAGTAATGATACCAGCCCAACAGTGCATTGCCCTATGTTTCCTGATAGTCCACAGAAGAGGCACTGTGGTCAGCAGACAGATAAACTGTCTGCAGTGCATATGTTTCCAAGCTGAGCTCTAGCTGGGAGAGGAAAAGCCAGCCTTCCTTGTAGTCCCTACTGAGGCTATGTCTAGACTGTAGGCTTCTTTCAGAAGAAGTTTTTTTCAGAAATCTTCTGAAAAAACTTCTTTCGAAAGAGAGCATCCAGACTGAATGGATGCCCTCTAGCATGTAAGTTGTGATTGCTATGGACAGAATGGCCACCAGGGGACCTGAGCTTTTTCCTCTTCTTCTGAAAGAACTCCCTCCTCCCCATCCACACATACACCTTTTTGCGAAAGAGCTCTTTTGCAAAAAGGCTTCTTCCTCATAGAATGAGGATTACCAAGGTTGGAAAAACCCTTCTGTTCTTTCGATTTTCTTGTGGAAGAACGCAATTGCGGTGTGGACGTTTCTCAAATTTTATTGGAAAAATGGCCGTTTTTCCAACAAAACTCTGTAGTGTAGATATACGCTAAGACTGCTCACTAAGTTGAGACAATTTTTCCCACTCCTCATGAGGAAAAGGAGTTTTGAAGCACAATGGTGGGGATTTGTATGTCTTATAGCCAATGGGATAAAGTTACAGCCAACCAACCAACCACTCCGGTGTTATAACAATTGCATTTTATTGTAGCCCTCGTATGCAGGAAATATTATTTGGATCACAAAGGAATAAGAATTTTGGGGGCAATGGGTAAATGTCTCAGCAAGCTGTTTCTCTACAATGAAATTTCTACCATCTACTGTTGAGTGTGAATAGCTAGCAGAATGCCTCAGGTGATAACAATGGTATCAAAGCTAGATGTGGCTAGGTTGGGAAGAAAATCTGTGAGCTGGCTTTAAATACAGAGGACAGGAAAGATTTGCTTTGTTAACCCTTAGATTTTCCCAGTGGATGTACATCTGTAAGGGCAGTGATGTTTAATCAGATAGCAGAAAAGCCATATACCTACTCTGAATATATGAATTATAATTCATAAAAGCTAAATGTAAGCAGCAATTATAGAATGTCTGCAAAGCTGAAAGCTGTTGGCATAAAATTTACAGCTGCATAAGGTCTGACATTGGTAGGAAAATCAACCTTCAGTTGATACAGATCAATCTAGTCCTTCTACTTGCTTTCACTTTCCTCATGGAAACAACCTCAATTCAACCCCTTTTACTACAACCCCTAAAACTTGTCAGAGGGCCTAAAAGATCTCGTTTATCAAAGGGAGGGGAGTGTTCAGACTTGAGATGTAAAGGAAGGAGCCAAAACCAATCCTTAACCGGTGATAACCAGCATAAGAAAATCTGACTCCTGATTTATTAGATTCTCTCTTCCTGGATCAGTGGAGCTGTGTCTAGACTGGCCAGTTTTTTCGGAAAAACAGCCGCTTTTCCGGAAAAACTTGCCAAAAAAAAAAAAAAAGGCAACAGTTTGTTACACTGGCCACTTGAATTTCCGCAAAAGCACTTTTTGCAGAAAAGCGTCCGTGCCAATCTAGATGCGCTTTTCCGCAAAAGCACTTTTTGCAGAAAAGCGTCCGTGCCAATCTAGATGCGCTTTTCCGCAAAAAAGCCCCGATCACGAAAATGGCGATCGGGGCTTTTTTGCGCACAACAAATCTGAGCTGTCTACACAGGCCCTTTTGTGCAAAAGCTTTGCAGAAAAGGGACTTTTGCCTGAACGGGAGCAGAATAGTATTTCCGCAAGAAGCATTGATTTCTTACAGTAGGAAGTCAGTGCTTTTGCGGAAAAGCGTCTGTGCCAATCTAGACACTCTGTTCCGAAAATGCTTTTAACGGAAAAGTTTACCGTTAAAAGCATTTCTGGAAAATCATGCCAGTCTAGACGTAGCCTGGGTATATTGGCAAGTTCCCTATGAACTGTACAAATCATCATGTGATTAGTGGAATTATATAAACTGCACCCAAAGGAGACAGTTTGTTACAATCCGGATGGCAGATTTCAGCTATTCATTGCAATTTTTTAATCTCCCGCTTCAGTTTCTGATTCTCCAGATATAGTTTGTTCAGTTCCAGCAGGGTTCTCAGTTCCGTCAGAGGCACATCACAATCAAGAAGCCTTTTACTCTCTTGTACCACTGCACATTCTTCAGAATTGCTAAGCTTTTTCTATGAAACAGAGAAAGAGGGAATGTGATTATAGAATCATAGAACACTAGAACTGGAAGGGACCTCGAGAGGTCATCAAGTCCAGTCCCTTGTCTGCATGACAGGACCAAACACCAACTAGATCATCCCTGACAGGTGTCTGTCCAACCTGCTCTTCAATATCTCCAGTGATGAAGATTCCACAACCTCCCTAGGTAGCTTATTCCAGTGTTGAACCGCCCTGACAGGTGAGAAGTGTTTCCTAATGTCCAACCTAAATCTCTGTTGTTGCAGTTTAAGCTCATTGCTTCTTGTCCTATCATCAGAGGTCAAGGAGAACATTTTTTCTTCCTCATCCTTGTAACACCTTTTTAGATACTTGAAAACTGCTCTTATGCTCCAGAAGAGAAAGATTTACCCTCTGAAGTAGGCTTGCTCCTTTTAGGATTTGAACCCTTCTTCAGTGTGACACAGGCCTGATTTGGAAACAGCCTCCATTCCCACAATTCGTATGGACTTTCTTCCGGAGCTGATAGCACTGAGCACATTTCAGAGAGTCCGGAACAACTTACAGAATCAGACACTTTAGACTGTAAATGCCTTGCGCAAGAACCAGGCTTCCATTCACATTTTCACAGTGCTGAACAACATGGTCATCTATTCACTACAATAGCATTAGACTATGCCCTAGCTCATCCGCAAATATGGAATGCATCACATGCTAAACTACTCTATTTTATAACGTGGCCAAATTTTTATATAGTGAGATTTTTACCTGCTACATTTTACTGTTTTTTTGCATGGCATAAGTACTAGAAAGAGAGAACATCTTTTACTTCAAAGGCTCAGAAAAGCTATGCTGGAGGAGAGAGTTTATTCTTTTGCTTTCAGATCAATACATTTCCCCCTTCTATTGTATCAATGGCACATCTCCCTATTCGGTCACATAGTCTTCATCATTTTAATGAATCAAAGTTTCTTCAGAAATTCCAAACAGTGTTATTAGAAATTGGGCAGAATACTTCATGAAATCCAACTGGAGCATCATACTTACACATTTGGGTAATGCTGACCAGTTGCCATTGGCCAAACAAGTAACACTAGAACTGTCTGTTGTAGGCAGGTCCCAGTGAGTTGGGAAGTGGTAGCCAGGGGAGCATTTGAAAGCAAGGCTTTCGTTCACATTGTACCACATTTTCCCGTCTAACATGCTGTTCAACCTTCCATACTGCACATCCGGCCTTGCACACTGAACTGAAAGGAAAAAGCAGACGAGAAGGCAGGTCAGTGAGCAACCTGCTTTGCTCCTTGCCTGCAATGGAAAGAAGCAGCTATACTTTAAGACCTGATGTTTTTTTCACTGCAGCTGTTTTGGTTCAATCAGAGAAATAAACTCCATATAACATCAAACCCACAATGACTCTCTGGAGAGACAAACACCATGAGTTCAACAAGAAAAGGGCGAGAGTGAAATTCCATCCAGTAGTGTGTGTCATGGCAGTTCATGGAACAGCTACATTCATGCTTCGTTGACTTATTGAATGAGGTTTTTTTGGCAGCCTTGGGACAACTGTGAAGTTCATTTCCTTGCACAACTGTGTCCCAAATAGCCTCTTTGGTGTACTGCAAAATTGGCACCTCTCCCTACGCACACAGAACGCGCAATCGGGGCCCCTGCCTGCAGGGCCGTCAATGCACTGACGTCATCGTCGGGCGCCCCAGGCAGCAGCGCCCTAGGCGGCGGCCAAGTCTGCCTATAGCCACAGGCCACCCCTGTACGCACACACCCTGCAGTGAGGGACAATTGTAAATCAGTGGAGATGCCTGGGATTTACACGGGTGGAACCAAGAGCTGAATTTGATCCTTAACACGGTTTTATGCTTCTGTAGCAACTTTTATCTGGCAGGATGCCAGAGGCTTTGATTAGCTGCCACAGTGACTGGCTCTGTAGAAACCCATTAGATAATTGTAAGAAACCCCCTTTCCCAGCAAAACAGCCACCTCTGCGAGCCAAGTGCAAGGGCTACTCGAGGGCTGTCCACCGAACGCAGACAGGAATGCAGAACCCGATTCTCAGGTTCACTAAGGCCTCTGGCAACAGAGGGGGGCCAGGTGTAAAATGGGATTCGGTCCCCGCGTCCTGAAAGTTTCATTGGGGAATCACCCCCCACCGCCCGTCACCTCACACCCTGGGCAGAACACTCTCTCCAGCATAACGTCTCTGCCGCAGAAGAAACAAAGTCTGAGTCTGCCTCTGGCTGTGCCTAGACTGCATCCTCTGCCGACAGAGGGATGCAAATCAAGCACTTCAGAAGTACAAATGAGCCTGAGATTTAAATATCATTTTTTGAGGAGTACAGGATCTGCCAGAGGAGCCCCTGCTGCTGGCAGAACCGCGGCTACACTTTACTTTCACTTTCGAAAGGGCGTGTGATCGGCACAGCGTCGGAACATGAGTATGCAAACGAAGCCCAGGATATTTAAATCCTGAGCTCATTTGCACTTCCGAAGAACTTGATTTGCATCCCTCTTTCGGCAGAGGGATGCATTGTAGACGTAGTGAGCTTCAAGACTGTGACTGCAGAGCCAGACTTGTGAAACCTGCAGGCTAGAGCGTTCAGCAATTCCCTCCAACGAATGTGAACTGGTGAAGGGACAGCCAGAAGGCCTTGTTTTGCAGGCTGGGGAAGTCTTTACTGTTTGTTGGCATTGACTCAACTTGAGGATTTGATATTAGGGCACAAGCTGCCTGGAGACTTTCATAAGCACCATTTCTAAAGTGGAAAAATCCATCCCTAAAGTTGCTCTACTCCCGAAGGAAGCTACCCTGATCTAAACACTGGGGTAGTTTGGTTCTTTATCCCATTACACATATATTTTGTTGATAAATACTAGCTTTGAGGGGGGTTCCCTTGCAGAGTATAGCCCGGGGAGTGTTAGCAATGTGTGATTATTCATGATTAGCATTTCTCTTTGGCACGCTTTCCAACGAATCCTCGTGGCACCTCGTCAGGGTAGGTTTACCGAGGAGAAAGGAGGCAGAGAGGGGAAGTCTCTTGTTCGAGTCCCACAGGGAGACTAAGTTGGGGCAGGAAGAGGGTTAAGACTCAAAGTCCTTGGTTCCCAGAGCTGTCCACAGAACACCTCTCCCCCGTGGAGCTGTTCCTAGGGCTCAGCCCACTTGCGCCAGACCCATCACCACACCTCAGTTCATCACTCACACTTACCCGGCTGACAGCTTGGCACAGGGGGGTTCCACGTGCTATCACCCTGACAGCGACTCGTTCTACTGCCATGGAGCAGGTAGCCTTGCTCACAGGAAAACTCCACAGTGACTCCGTATGTAAACATGTGCAGGGCAGTGGTCATTCTCCCGTTTCCAACCACCGGCCTCGGGCAGCGAACCACTGAACAACAAAACTGGTGTTACATCCGCCCGCAACAGGGCGCAAAACAAAGCCAATGCACTTAAATAGCCACTGATCTGTTTCCACATTTGCTAAGCATGTGTGTGTGTGTGGGGGGAAAGCGGGGGGAACCACTGCTACATATGAGTCTCCAATTTTTGACCTTTGAGCAGGCCACTGTGTAAAACTCCCTGCTCATGTTTCACTCTCTCTCTGTAGTGGATTCACAATGACACTGAGACTATCGGCGGGGGAAGAGAAGAATTTATATGGCAGGTAGGTATGTGGATGATTGCCTTCCATGCTGTCCTCTCCTCCCCAGCTTCTTATCACCACACAAGCCACCAGGGCTATTCCCTTTTCTGGAATCGGACTGTTCCCTCAAACTCTCCCTGATGTGGTATCCAGGGGGACCCACACTGGAAGGGACAAAACCAGGACAGCTGGGTTGGGTACTAAAACCAGGAGATGGGTCAGGGAGGTGGGGGAATAAGTCATTGGGGGCGAGGCTCAGACATCAGCTGGAACTCAGACCCAGTGACTGGTAACACTGACCAATCAGGAAAATCAGAGTGGGGCTAATTTTTATGTTTGACAACAGGGGTCTATGGTGGAGGAGGTTCAGCGGTGGTTCCAGGCCAACATTTTAGATAGGGCAGCTCAACTCTCCTTAGCAGCTCCAACTCCACCTGAAGTTAGTATCTCATGGGCTAGTCCCCAGTGCACCTGCCAGGCTGTCCATGTTAAGCATCTCCTGCACGCAGACTGCTCAGGATGCCACCTGAGCTGCGAGAACCGCTGCTCCTGCTGGGATCCGTCACATGGAAGTTGGAAGAGCCACATGGTTATTGTAACAGTAGTGGGATTGAGTCAGCTCTGGCAGTTTGCAGCTCCCGCCGCGGGGGAAGCCATGTGCACTCCAGGGTGGGGCTTGCCGCCAGACCAGGAGACGTAACGCACCACCCACAGCTTCAGTCCCCACCCAGGGATCCGTATGGACGGGCTGCTTTGAGTCAGGGGAACCTGGGTGCCATAGCCACACCCTCTCTTGGCTTTTCACCACCCACATCAGCGGGAATCCTGGACGCCAAAGAGGATAGTGGGTGGGATTAGGAGTGGCAGACAGCTCTGCTCATTATCAGCCACACTTCTCAAAAGCCTTGGGACGTTCTACCCGGGCCTCCGGAAAGTACCCTTCCCCCTTTGCATGAGAGAGCGAAGTAAAGGACTTACTTTTGCACTGCGGGGCAGGCCTGCTCCAGGTCAGATTCTCCCCATCCAAGGTGCAATAAATGGAAGCCTCGCCAACCAGGGACAAACTATCCCCGCAGCTGTATGTCACTTGGGAGCCATAGGAGAAATATTCCTGGATCCCACCATTGTGATGTCCACTCGTGATAGAGGGAGGTCGACCACAGGCTACAAATGGATAGAAACACTGTAAGGCCTGTTGCACCTCTCACGGACTCAAGAGCACACTAGTTACAGGGAATCTAGTGCTTGGTTTTTAGATCATATTGAAATTCTCTTCAGTGTGGGGTTGCTGAAGCTCAGCCGCTTGAAGGATCAGGCCCCAAGTCAATGCATTGGCTAGATCAGCTCCCTGTAGTGATAATCCTTCCTGAACCTCCTAGGCAAACAACCCAACCCTCCTGCAACCTACCAACCTTCCCTGAGTCTCTTCACAAATCTCTCAATCCCACGGCTAAGCCTTCCCGCAACATCTCCCTCTGTGTGCATCACTATCCCACCCAAACCTAAGAAAGGGGAGTGGCAGTGGAGGATGTCACAAGCAGGCTGAGCTAGGACTCATGGGAGGGCATTCCAAAAGGGAATTTTTAGGCTGCACTTCAGGCAGTGCTTAATTAGTAATTAAGGAGGTGCCAGGGCTCGAGGAAACATTTTTCCACACTTTTATTACTGATGCAGCAAACCCAGAAATGCTGGGGCTCAGTCTCACACTCCCTGGCACAAATTAAGCACTAACATTATGAAAAAAAACTTCCTGAAAGTGAGATTTAACACCCTCCAGGGTGCGTCTACACAGCAGAACTTAACTCGAAAGAAGCTATGCAAATTGAGCTACGTCCGTTGTGTAGCTTATTTCAAAATAGCTGATTTTGAAATAGGGACCGTTTACAGCGCATTTATTTCAAAATAGAGCATTCTTCCTCCGACTTGCTCTGCTCCTTGTACAATGAGGTTTACAGGAGTCGGAGTAAGAAGTTCTCTAGCTTGAGAGTATTTTGACATTATTTTGAAATAACTGCCTGCTGTGTTGACACAGACTAAGTTATTTTGAAATAAGGCTAGTTATTTTTGAAATAATGTCCGTGTGTAGACATACCCCAATAGAGGAAGAAAAGAGGTGGTGATCGCTTGGGCTGTCACATTTAACCTTCAGCCAGAAATTCTTGAGATTAGACTGTAGGGATATTGATCCCCCTACTGCCAGAATGAGATGAGATCACTGGATAGAAAACAGCCCTTTGGCTATTTATTAATGACCTAATACACCCCCTAGATGCAGAGATGTAGGGAGGCAGTCTTCTTGCTACTAAGATCTGTGGCAGCATATTTCTTTTTAATAGCAGGTTCTCTTCTTGTTTATACTTACCTTTATCACAGAATGGTACTGGAGGGTACCACATCCCATCAGTCCGGCACACACTCTCTTCCCTGCCTTTGAGGATGTAGCCAGGGTTGCACTGAAACCCAACGCGGTTTGCGTACATGTACGGCGCTTTGGTCGGAGAGAGCTGTTTTCCATTTTCAATCACCGGGGTTGGACAACGCACCCCTGAGCAAACAGCAATACACAGTGAGTTTTAGATTCTTCCCCCTCCCCAGAATCAGATAGAAGAAATTCCAACAGTAGGCCCCAATGTGTCCCCCTTGAAATAAGCTCTTAAATTTGCACAGCAATGAAAGCCAAGAAAATTCAGCCCAAAATCGAGTTACTTACTCTGACATAGCGCTGAGACTTTAGGCCACTTGAAATTTGTTTGACAAGTCAGCTGGGGAGATACTCCAGGGATGAGTGTGTAACCTGGTTTGCAGGAGTAGGTCACTGTGGTACCAACTAGAAACTCTCTGGGATTGTTTCTGTCAGCATAATCAAATACTGGCGGGTAGGGACACCTCCCTAATAATGCAAAACAAGACAGGGAGCAATAAAATACAGTTTTCACCCAGATACAAATGAAGAATGAAGCATCCTTATGAGAATGTGGCATGTCAGACCCAGCTGTGGAAATCAGGGGCCGACATTCTGCTCACTCTGAGTGCAGAATTTGGTTCAGTCCCTGCAATGATATAAAACAACTCGAGCTGAATTGTGGGATGGGGAGTTATGAGAGGAAACAAATGGCAATGACTACTTGCTATCATCGGGGTAGAGACAGCAGGCCATGAAAACCACAAGGAGCAGTAATCTGTAGTGCTGCTAGCCCCGGCATGGAATGAAAAGGAAAACCGTGACACTGTTACATTCTTCACGTTTCTTGAAAACAAAAAGTTCTCCCTTTATGAAAAGAGGGAAGAGAGTTAATGTCCTATAGCAAGTTCCCATTTGTATAGGACCTTTTCTGAGCACCAGCCTTGTGCTTTATCAACACCGGAGAGTGAATTCTTACCACACCCTTCAAAAGGGAAGGTCAGCAATACTGTCCCCATTTTACAGATGGGAAAAACGAGGCAGGGAGATTAACGCCAAAAACGTCAACTGTGGCAGCTAATTGAGGAAAGACATCTTGGGATGCCTGAGGATCATGCTCTAATTTGTGCGTATCTCCTGTGAAGGCATTGATAACACCGTTCGTATGGTTCATATTGGTATCTAATTAGTGACAAATCACTGCAAAATAAAAACACCCGCTGTCCTGGGGGGTGAGGGGATTAGCCTATTTAAGAAGGAAGCTGTGTCCGCATCTGCTTCATTAAGAGGCCATACAAGGGGACTGGAGAGAAGACACTGCTCTGGGTTGGGCAGCAATGGGAAGGAGACGTGGAGACTGGGTCAAAGTTCTGGAATGCTGCTGGAGTTATCCAAAGAACAGTAGTGAACAGCTGTTCAAGGGAAAGGGCCAGGAAAAACTCCAGGATAAAAGCAATGGAGTTTGCCCACTGATCTCTTCCAACCAAGCAAGAAGGAAGATCTAAGGAAACCTGTGGGCCAGGGCTTCATACTTGGAACAGTGAGCTGGAGAAAACCCCAGGAGATTAAGAAGATGAGCTCACAGTGGGTGGGCAGCCCTTGGTTACCTTGCATTTTTGTGAAGGTGGGCATTGCTTGCTCTACTTCCTTTTGGTTTTGAGTTCCAATAAGCGGAGAAATGCAGGAACCTGGCACTTTGATTCAAGAGGGACGCTACAGAAGAGCCTGTTTTTCATATGAGAGGTTTAGTAGGCTATGACTTCAGATGGAGTGGGGGACTATTCGGTAGTTAGCCCTCAGCAGGGGTATTATCAGACTGAAAAAGAATTGTCAGAGGAACATTAATTGGGAGGGAGTGCGCCTATGGGGCCATTTTTAGCCAACAGGGGCATTTGTTTTCATATTCCATCCCTGTGACAATAAGGAAGCTCCATGTTTTTTGTCACAGGGATATCTCAGGTGGCGCGTCTAGCGTTTGTAAAATGAAATTCACAGGCACTTTCTTGGGTAAAAGCTGGCTCTTTGTTCTCCCCAGAGCTGGGAAAGGACAGGCACCAAAACATCTCACATATACAAATCCAGAAGTCAAAATCCAACTTTTCCAACCTCCCCGCAGGTGAAAATTAACTGCCCCAGCATCTGAATCCCCTCCCAAACTTACGGCTGCTTTTATCTGGTGCAGACTGACCCCAGACACTGCATTCTGCAGAAAGCCTCATATGGCCTTCCCCCAGCCTGGACACCCCACAAAGTATCGCTGTACTCTGTCACACACTTACCTAGGTCACAGACTGGTACTGGAGGATACCACTTCCCATCCATTTGGCACTGAATCTGCTCATTGCCCCGGAGGATATAACCGATATTACAGTCCAATGTTACACTGGTTCTGTATGTGTAGTTATGTGGAAGTGGAGACTTCAGGATCCCATTTTCAATGTGTGGGGCTGGACACTGAATCTCTGCAAAACATTAAAGTAGGCTTTCCAGATCCTTTGATTATTTAATGCACATTTTTAAAGTACTGATTAATCCTCCCAACACCTCTGCAAGGCAAATAAGGAAGGAAACTATTTTACAAACAGAGAAACTGAGGCAGAGAAGCAAAGAGACTTGCCCAAAGCCCGAGAGGAAGACAAGGATTAGAACTGAACCAGGATTAGTATTCGGAGCTTTCCATTGCCAAATCGTGTGCTGGCACCATGTCCCCCTCCCCCATACGTCATATGTGCTAGAGAAGTATTCATAGCTCAGTCCATCATTTATATACATCCCACTCACCAGACAAAGGAAAACCTATGTATTATCACCCAGGCATGGACTTGCTTTGCTGCAGTTGACTAGGCAGCTTTTGTTATAGAAAGCTCAAGAGTGATGCTGTATGTAAATACCCATGGATTTAAAAGTAGCCATCGTTCTACAAAGGAATTTCACCTACCAATTAGAGAGAGAGGCTGAAGAACTGGAATTCATCTACATGTTTGACACTGTTACCCTGGGCTTAAAAGATATTAACTGACTGGATCATTACAAAGCCAATTTCTCCTGCCTTTAACATCTGCATTTTCACAACAAAAGCTATGATTGGGATACATCCAGTCCAGTTAATTAGCTTCATCAATACAGATATATATCTTGGTTTCTGTTATTTCCATTCCAATCTATCTGATGAAGTGGGTTTTACCCATGAAAGCTCATGGTTCCATGTCTTTGTGTTAGTCTCTAAGGGTATGTCTACACTAGCTCGTTAGTTCGAGCTAGGTAGGCAAATGAGGGCAACTGGTGTTGCAAATGAAGCCCGGGATTTAAATATCCGGGCTTCATTTGCATGTTCCTGGGCACCGCCATTTTTAAATCCCCCCTAGTCCGAACTCCGTGCTCGCGGCTACACGCAGAGATCCTAATTTGAACTACCTACTCCATGCCACGTGTAGCCGCGGGCATGGAGTTCGGACTAAGGGGGATTTAAAAATGGCAGCGCCCGGGAACATGCAAATGAAGCCCGGGATATTTAAATCCCAGGATTCATTTGCAACTCCGGTTGCCCTCATTTGCGTACCTAGCTCGAACTAATGAGCTAGTGTAGGCATACCCTAAGGGTGTGTCTAGACTACATAGCTCCGTCGACGAAGCCATGTAGATGAGTTTACTAGACACACCAAAATGAAGCAGCGATTTAAATAATAGCTGCTTCATTTACATCAAAATGGCCACCGCGCTGTGCCGATTAGCTGTTTGTCGGCACAGCACAGTAGTCTAGACGGGAATCAGCCGACCCCAGAACCCTTCATCATCAGATCCTTTATGCCTCGAAGCTTTATGCCGTCGATGGAGCCATGTAGTCTAGACACAGCCTAAGGCTGCATCTACACAACACAGTTATTTTGAAATAACTAATGTTATTTTGAAATAACAATGCGAGCATCTACACAGTAATTCCGTTATTTTGAAATAAATTCAAAACAACAGATGGCTTATTCCAATTTCTGTAAACCTCATTCCACTAGGAATAACTTGTCTTCTGAAATAACAGTTGTGTGGAGGCTCCACTGTTGCTATTTCGAAATAGCTCCTCCCCAGGGCCATTCAAAGTAATTACTCCCCAGTTCTTTCTGGGGCTCCACATCAAGGTGGCACATCCACATCAGGGGAGCCTGCCTTGGATTAATTCTGAGGCTTCCCTGTAAATGTATTATTTTGAAATAAGCTATTGCGGAATATATCTTCCGGAAAAATTTATTTTGAAATAAGAGTGCTGTGTCGACGTACCCTAAGGTGCCACAGGACTACTCGTTGTTAAAGGGACAGATTAAATGGCTTCCCCTTTCAGACATATTTATAGTTATCCTTCCATTTTCAACCACAGAGGGAAAACAAAGATGTTGGGCTAAGTGTAAAACAGGGAACGATGAAAGCCAAGACACTTAAGAGGGCTGCTGATCTATCTTCCAAGCAATTTGAACACTTAAAAAAAAACCCCCATGACTAACAAGATCACATTTTCTTAATCTTTCTGTTGATCTTTGTGCTTAAGGAAAGTTCTTATTTCCAGAGGCAGCTGGAACGGATAATTTCTTATAGCACTGGATTTGTGATCAATTTTGACAATTGACAGATCTCCTGGGGAGATATGGGTATCCTGGCGATGGGACAATGCAGCATTCAATGCATGAACACCTTCCATGCCGCCAACTCCACCCTGCATCTTCTGGCTGCTAAGTCAAGCCACCAAGGTCATTCCAACTTCAGAGTGTTCCTGCAAACTTACTGCTGCTGTATGCAGGGAGGAAGGACTATAGGCATAACGGAATGCTGTATAGCCAGTAGCCAGAATAAGAATCAGGTGCAGGTGGTGGAGAAATCAGTGGGAAAGGAAGACAAGCAACAGCTTGGATGTGGGCCAAACAGAAGACCATATATATGGATGCTGAGGGAGAGAGGAAACTGGTATGGGGCATGTCAGGGGATAGTTTGTTGGGAACACATAAGGCATTAGAAAAGAGTGGTCAACAGAGATGGCAGACAGTGGATGCTAAGAGGATACTTTGCTCCAGACCATTCAAAAATCCTTTTCCTATATGCGTCAGTTTGGTGTAACACACAATGAGTTACCTTCGCACTCAGGGGTAGGCTCACTCCAGATAGGCGTCCCTTCATCACCAGTCAGACAGTGAATGTTGGCTTGTCCAACAAATGAGAAACCTATATCACATTTGTAAGTTACTAACGATCCAACCACAAAAGTTCTCCTGCTCCAGACATTGTACTGGCCGTGGGAGATGTTCGGGGGTTGGCCACAAGCTATAATTGGAGAGAAAAAACATGTTACTTGTGCAATAGGTAAAAAAATCTCTGCAAAGAAAAGGAGATGACCGATTCCCAGCATTTCTTGCTGTCATTACGGCAAAAACACCGATGTTTCTATGACACATGAAAGAGCACCCGAGGTGTGTCCAACAACCTGCTAGTTCTATGTTTATCTCTTGCTGTGCATGGCATCAGGATAGGACACACAAAAATGCTGTTGTCAGTTGGCTGCTGTGACAGTCATTCACACGCTCTGTGAGCGGCACGGAAGCAATGATGATGTTCCAAAGAGATGTTCAACAGCTGGAGCTTCCCTTGACAAGAAGGTGAATTGGCCCAGTTACACTTCCCTTCCTCCAAATCCAGATTGTAGCCTTTTCAGGTGCCTGAAACTTCTCCCAGCTAACTACTCTCTGAGTCCTCCAACAAACACCTCAACCTCACACCCCTAACAGAACCTTTCCTTGTTGGTAAAGAGAGCCATCCTTAACCCCAGATACACACTTCTTCCAAAAGAGCAAAAGGGGAGATTACAGGGTGATCACAGGGTGACACAAGGGATAGCACTGGTTCCAAGGGGTAATGGAGTTTTTCTTAGTGGTTAGTTTTAACCATTGGTGGTGACCCATGAGTTTAATACACATTTTCATAGCATAATGGTAAATTAGCTGCTCATGCATATACACCCCCGGCTCTGAAATGGCCTTTCATTCCTCACAAGGCCTTTTGAAAATAATTGGATCCCTAAAACTCCTTTCAGGGGCTAAACATTTTTTAGACCTGATCCTCTTTCTAACACAGAGTTGCCGTGGGAATCTGTACCACTCTCCTCCCTGCACAGGAGTGTGTGTGTGTGGGGGGGGGGGGG